TTCATAATCCATGAAGTTTCATACTATTTTGACCTTTTTGGCCATTTGTTACAATTTACTGTTTATTATGGGTGCACTAACTTGGGTGTAGCCACAACTTTTCCTAGACGAAAAATACAAATAAAGGCATACGAATAGGAATATATTAGCAGCTTAGAGCATTTCCAATAGGTGCCTAAACTAATAAAAAAACTGTTTTTTTACATCACCAGGGACCAAAAAAGTCTCTCCAACAGCAGCCCGTGATGTAAAAAAGGGCAAAAGAATTTACATCATGACGTATATTTTGCATCTCGTTATGTAAATATACATCACTTTGGGCGGTGGTGTAAAATGCATGCAGCGCGCGAGTGTAACCACCAACCTCCAGGTCCTTCACCATGCACGTGCGTCGCCGCCACACCCGTCGCCGCCGCCATACCCTTCCCGTCGCCGGCCATTGAGGAGGAGGCGTCGATGCGGAGATCCAACAAAGAAGAAGAAGTTTGAGTGATGTAAAAATACATCGCCTGTTGGAGTTGGACACTTTCCATGATGTAAAAATCACGTTTTTTGTGATGCATAATTTACATCAAGCAGTTTTTGGGCTGTTATTTTACATCACCTATTGGAGATGCTTTTACAAACTCAACTGACATGAAGAAGGCTGGCCAATCGATCTCGAAAGGCACGACGGTCTGTAATTCATAGTTGCCCGACATGCCCGTGACCTCATCAATTCTTCCTGTTTCGAGATTGACACTGCACATGGACCCTCGTCGGTCTGTGACAAGCAGTGTCGCGCCCTTCCCGCCCACATACATGGAGAGCGGTTTGGTGGTCTGCGGCGGTTTGTGTTTGAGCTCGACGACCTTCGTATGTAGCACGTCAGCAAGGCTATTGCCACACTCTTCTTCACCCTGGCGTGTAGTAAAGATCTGTAGCCGGAGGAAATTTTTATGCAGGCAAATCAATGATAAGTTGCCATCAATTCCGACGCTAAGTATCGGTGCATGGTTGGAGCTGGTTTCAAAGAAGCGCCGTGGGATCGGAAACTGTGTTATGGAGACATGGCCAGTCTCAATGCAGAATTCAAGGGTGCAAATGCTGGGCGAGTCGTCCTGGATGAGCCAGCGTGCCTTGCCCGGAGACACGACGGGATTGCCATACTGGACGAAATCGTAGTCCAGACGTTGAAAGCACCTTCTAGGCGTGCTCCACCTCGACTCCGCGGACGAGAAAGTGTACATACTGTATGGTCGCCAATCATACCCGGCCATTATGATGATCACTTTGAACAGCAATGTTGTGTAGCAGCTTGGCGATGGTTTTTGCGGTCGTCGTCCCTTGCGAGGGTGGTCTGCGTCGGTTACAATGGCGCACTTGTCCTCGCATAACATAGAGGATGCACCGTGCAGCGGAGGCAGTTCGTTCCACGTGCCGGCGAGCGGGTTGCACACGGCCAGACGGACGAGTCCCCGTTCAGTCCGGTGGTGGCGGCGTGAGCGGAGGCGGACGAGAAGAAGGCCGGAGCGCGAGGCGAGTGGAACCGCCTCGCTGAATAAACCATCTGCGTTGGGAAAGAAGGAGCCAAGCGGGCGGCGCCTAGGGCCGAGCGGCGATCGCGGCACCGGGACGAAGGCCGTCGATCCGTATACCAACGGGTCATGAAAGAAGCCAACGAGAGAGCCCGGGTCGCGTGCACCCTCCGGCCAGCGGCGGCGGAGGAACGAGGGGTTGGCCACAAGGGCTCGCCACCGCTTGCACGACACGGCGCAGCGCAAGAGCGCGGCGGCGTCGTCCGCCACGCGCGCCAGGATCTCGAGGAGGGCGTCGTCCGGGAGCGTGGCCGCGGCGGGGGCCGCCCTTGCTTTCTTCTTGTGCCTCCTCCTCCGCGGGGCAACGCGAGAGACGTCCTCCATGCGATCGGATCGGAGACCCGCCGCAGATTGGTTTCTGATTTTGGAGTGGGGGCGTGCGCACGTCGGACTGATACGTACCTCACGTGTATATACTCGTCCTCTTCAGTTTTTTTTTTCTTTGAGAATTTCGTGTTCGACAATGTCATCTCAGCGTGTTTGCTAGGATCAATATTGCAGAACATTTTTCTCTTGTAAGGACTTCTAAAGCATTACTAAGTAAATCATGATGAAGCGTCAGTGCTGCGTCCGTTAATTATTTATAATTTTATCAAGGACCGATATATAACGCTGAAGTTCAATCTGGATAGCTTCCGGATCAAATGAATCGTTCCTTTTTTTTTCTACCGAGGCAAGAATGAATCGTTCGTGGGAACGATCAAATTGATCAAACAAAAATGTTTTGATGTGTCCATGGTATTAGAATAAGATGGTATTAGAATAAGAAAGAGGAAGAAATCATTGTGCGCGGTAAAGCTTGACATGATGAAGGCATACAATAGAGTTGAGTGGGTCTTTCTGGAGCAGATGATGGCAAGGTTTGGTTTCTCTGGTCACTGGACAGAGATGGTTATGAGGTGTGTCACTTCGGCGAGGTTCTCAGTTAAGATGAATGGTGGCCTCTTCCATAGTTTTTTTTTCATCCAGAGGGTTGCATCAGGGGGATCCTCCCTCTGTCTCCTTATCTTTTTTTGTTCGGTGTGGAAGCGTTTTCAGCTCTACTTAGGAGTGCTCAGAGGACTAAGGATATAAAAGGGGTTTCCTTTGGGAGCACTGGCCCCACTGTTACTCACCTTCTATTTGCGGTCGATGTTGTTGTGTCCCTTGAGGGGTCCCGAGGAAATTTCGAAGCACTATGAACTATCTTGCGGGACTGAGGAAACACTCTCTGGCTCCAGTGGAGCGGTGGCGAGAGACCGTAAAGGTAAATTTATTTCAGCAGCAACTTGGGTTCCGCCCCATGTTTGTAGTGCGGAATCAGCAGAGCTGAGTGCTATTCAGAATGGCCTATACCCAGCTGGGAGAATTGGATGCAATAAGGTATACATCAAATCAAATAGCATAGTTGCGGTGGAGGCTGTTACATGAGCAAATGATTATATGGGTCCTGATGTGGCAGCAATATCAGAATGTATTCAACTCACTATGGATTTTACCAATATTGACTGCAGTTATTGTTGCAGAGAAGCTAATGTAGTTGCTGATAGCTTAGCCAAATTTTCTTTTATTTCTAGTTCGTCTGAAACCTGGGACTCTACTATCCTTGACTTTATTCTTCCCCACATTGTAAACGATATGTCAATTGTTTGAGGAATAAAGTTTATGATGTTCAAAAAGAAATATTATTATTTATTCTAACCCTCTGTCCCTCCCAATTTAAAACTTAGATATGGCTTCTTGCTAATAACAAACTCTTAACCCGTGATAATCTAGCTAAACCTAAACATGTGGATGATTTAGCATGCATCTTCATTATTGATACAAAGTTCGTACAACACCTTTTTTTTATTGTGTGACAGATTTGGGGGCTCTTCTCTACCATTCAGACGGGCCATGGCTTTCAATCTATGAGCGGTTGGTGGATTAGTCCAAATAACATTATGTTCATAGTATATGCTATCCAACTCAGTTTTGTTGGCCCTATGGAAATTCCGCAACTCTCTTTGTTTCAAGTGAAAATACAATTCTTGACTAGGTTATACAATTCTTGCACATAGGAGAGGGTTTTGACAGTGAAGCGACCTCTTGATAAAATGATCAACTACATTGCATTCAAACTTCTATAATTTCCACCAAGTACAAAAAGATCCTCTCCCTTTTCTTTTCTCAAAGAAAGCTGAACATAATCTCCATATATTATTTGTTTTGTGAAGTTGTCGTATGGTGCTTGTCTCTTTGTTTTGTCAAAGGAATCTGCATAAAAATTCCCATCTATTCTTTTCTCTATGAATTGGTTTTCCCTAGAACGAGCAAATAATGTGCCCTTTCTTCCACTCTGATGTCGGTTTTGCTGATCTGCAGCGAGCTCTTGATTTATTATTTCCTTTAGTAAATAAACTGGTTGAGGGTATTCAATGGTATTGGCATTGCAGGTTCTTCGTAGGCAGACACATTGATTGGATCTTCCCCATGCCAATACACACTTTATAGAAGAATTTCTGAGGGATTGTCTTGCGGTCTACACATGCTGCCCAGTACATGTTTCAGGTGAAATTTCTCATTCTACTTGATCCAATAAGAAGCCCTACTGATAGTTTAGTGAATTTTTTCTGTTCCAGCTTATTCAGCCTCTAATAGAGTTGTTGGTGAACAAAATATGGTTGCAGGAAAGATAGATGAAGTGGTGTTGTGGCCTAGAACTGAAACATAATCCATGACAAACGGTTTGATATTTTTTATGGAAGTTGCAATTGGCATGTAGATTTAAATAAATTTATTATCTTAGTTGATATTGATTCCACCCTTAGTTTCATCATATTTGTGTAGATGTTGTCCTTTGGCTTGTAACTATCATCACTCAAATTGCACTTCTACACATTCGTGTATGCCATGTGTGTCATGGAATGCATTGGTAAACAATCATGGCTCACCGGCAGCTCTTTTATCTTGCTTTTGGTTGAGTAGTGCAGCTAAGTTGATAGTCTTTGTGTTAAATGATTGCGCAATTGCCCAAACTGTATTGCGACCATAATTGTATTGATGAGGTGTATTATCAAACATTATGGGGTGTACATTTTTTATTGTGTTGCGGCCATAATTCTACCGATGAGGTGTATTATCAAACATTATGGGGTGTACATTTTCTTTACATTTTTTTTGAGTTTTTACACGATGGGGTGTACATATTGCTATTGGCTACCACGCGCCAGACCGGTCCATCTACCATCTCAACGAAATTCTAGCTCCATTGCACTCCAACACATTTTCAGCCCACACGCAGAACGTGTCCATTTACGTGGGACAAATTATTTTCTACAACCCATATTCATATCGTCGGCTCACTCGTGCAGCAGGACACACAGCCTCCTGCTAACCCACAAAGCAGCGCCCACACACACGCCGCCGCCGCCGCCAGCACTGACGCCGGAGAACGGCCGAAAAATGGCCTTGACGGCGATCCCCAACGAGCTCCTGGCGGACATCTTCCTCCGCCTTCCCACCCCTGAGGACCTCATCCGTGCCTCTGCCTCATGCGTCTCCTTCTGCCGCCTCGTCGCCGACCGCACCTTCCTCCGGCGCTTCCGCAAGCTCCACCCTCTGCCCCTCCTCGGCTTCATCGACTACAAAGGCTTCCACCCAGACGTTCCGCCTAACCCCTCCGCGCCGGCGCCAACGCCGCAGACTTCGACTTCGAGTTCCTCCCCGCCCCTGCCAGGGACTGGTCTGTGCGGGACGTCCGCGTCCTCCTCGACAGACCCCGTCACGCCGGTGGGAGGCTCAGATCCGTCTTCAAGGAGATGGTGGTGTGCGACCCCCTGCACAGGCAGCATCTTGTCAGGCCCAGACCTTGATCATCCCCTGTTCCAGCGTGCCAGAAGTGCTTCAGTCCATCGATCGCCCATCTAATGGCTCACCTGCGTGCGTACCGGTTCACTAGCTGGGACGATCTCCATGCGTTCATTGTCGATCTAACGGCTGCGATGGGTCGCTGTAGCTTTTCCGACAAGCCATGTGCTCTGTTCACTTTCTGTTCATCTTTTTCACTCGTGTAATGGCTATAAAGCCACCCTTTCCCCTCATTCTGGACTATGTTGATTTGTATCGCGTGTAAACCCTAGCCACCGGTGGTGTGCTGAACCTACTTTCCCCATTTCTTAAGCAAGAACCCTAGTTTTTCGTCTCCATTTCTTCCACGGTTCCTTGCGGTGTGACTTAATTTCAGTAATTCAAAGCTCTGAGCCTGACAATTGGTATTAGAGCCAAGTTTTTCCTCAGCGGCGGTGGATGATTGGGGCGGTGTAGAGGTTTGCTCTAGTTGTAAAATCCCTCTTCGAGCCTGATCGAGCGGCGGAGGCAGCAGGCGGCGGCCGGAGTGGCAGTGTTCGGGTGCAGTCAGAGGACAGCCTGGTTGCCTGAGAGTATTTCTCTGGTGGTAAAATCCCAGCTCCCGGATCTGGCCGTGTACCATCGGAGGCGGGCGTAGGCGGCGGTGTTGGCGGTGACAAGTTCATCCCACCCTCCCAACCCTCTATGGTGGTGATCACTGACGGCCTTAACATGACAGGCCCTGCTGATTCGGGTTCCACAGCGGAGTTGCAGCTCGAGTCTCTCGAGTTGGACATCAAGGCGTTGCAGCACGATCGAGACGAAGATCGCAAGGAGTTCCAGCAGTTTCAAGCAACAGTTAACAGGAATTTCGCAACGATGCAGAAAAACTTCGACAAGATCCAAGAAAACTTCAGGCATCTGCTGTTAGATCCGGAACCTGCTCGAGAGGATGGTGTAGAAGGGCAGGGCAGTGTTCAGATGAGGGTCGATCAGATGAATTCGCCGAAAGTGGCTCCTGGTAGACCCAAACAACTACCAGTTCCTACTCCTCCTGTAGCTATGCCTGAAAAAGGGGCTACTTTGCCGATTGGAACTGCAACACTTAGGGATCATGCAGGCAAGGATCTGCATCTTGATGGTACACCTAAGGCGCCTTATAGGCACCCAAACTATGGTCAGGCAAAAGACGCAGCGCCTAACAATGTTGTGCAACTGGAAGAGATACCTGAAGATGAGGTTGTAGATCACACGTATAGAAGAGGGCAGAACTTTCAGGATGGAAGAAGAAACACCCTCACTGTCAAGCCAGCAAAACTTAACATTTTTGAGTTTGAGGGACAAGAACCTGAATCCTGGATTCAGAACCTCGAGCAGTATTTTGCTGCGGCTAGAACACCAATTTAGCATAGGGCAGAAGTGGCCATTTCATACCTCAAGGGACTTGCAATTCAGTGGTGGAGAGGAACTGGATATGCCTAGCTCTAGTAATGTTCCATGGCATAAGTTTTGTTCATGTCTGTCTGACAGGTTCTCTTTGGATTCGGCTTGTGACATTGTAAGCTCATTCCATGTAGTTCAACAAACAACTACAGTCACTGCTTATGTGGAACAATTTGAACAACTAATGAATTTTATGAGAAGAGAAAATCCTACAATTCCAGATGATTATTATGTCTCTAGTTTTGTGTCAGGGTTGCACACTTATATTAAGAGCCACGTGGAATGTTTCAAGCCAAAGGACATGCAAACTGAAGTATGGTATGCTAGGAGAATGGAAAAGTCCCAGTCCCAAATCTGGTTGTGCAAACCAAAGCTTATGTCCCTCAACCAAGAAGACATGTCCTATTTGAGCAACAAAAGCAAGCACCCACAACTGCAGTTCCTAATAGAAATACTGTTATTCAGCAAGCTAAGCAAAATCAGGTCTGCTACAAGTGTAGAGAACCATGGGTGCCTGGTCATAGACAAGTCTGTAAAATGAGTCAGAGAGCACAAATTCAAGCATTGCAGGCTCAGGGCAATGACAATGCTGAAACAATCTATGTGACAAATTTTGATGATCCTGACTTGGAAAACTCTGAGCCCCTTCCTGAGGAAACAATGTTGCAGGTGTCAATGCATGCTGCCATGGGTATTGGAGCTGCTAAGAACACTTTTATTTTGACAGTAAAAGTGGGCAGCACCACTGCTACTGCTTTAGTAGACAGTGGTAGCACATCTACATTTGTTTCACCTGAGATGGGTGCTAAGCTTCCTGTTTCAGCTACTCCTAATCGCAAGATAAAAGTGGTGGTTGCAAGTGGAGGAGTGCTCTGGAGTGAATTTATAGTAAAGGACTGTCCCTATGAAATTCAGGGCCACAAGTTTTCTGATACTTTCAGAGTGTTAAAATTAAAGGGATATGATATGATTTTAGGGGTGGATTGGTTAAGAAAGTATAGCCCCATTCAGATGGACTTCATAAAAATGGAAATGAGGATATCTGCAAAGAGTGGCCAGTTTATATCTTTTGTGGATGAAACTATCCCACTTGCTGATATAACTGAAGTTACTGAACATCCAGATGAGCTGTTGGAGCAAGCTGTCTGTGGTTTTTTTCTGTTTACCTCTTCTAGGTGTGATGTGGTGGCTGGAGCACGAGAAATTCCTTCAGAATTGTTGCCTTTATTGAAAGAATATGAAAAAGTTTTTCAGGAACCTTAGGGACTGCCCCCTAGTAGACCATGTGATCACAAAATTCCACTTATTGATGGAGCTAAAGTGGTTAATCAGAGGCCCTATAGAGTTCCTCATCATCAGAAGGAAATCTTGGAGAAAATCATATTGGAACTGCTGAAGAAGGGAATAATCAGGCCTAGCACCAGCCCCTTTTCTTCTTCTGTATTGTTGGTCAAGAAAAAGGATGGGTCCTGGAGACTTTGCACAGATTACAGAAAACTGAATGCAATCACTATGAAAAATAAATACCCAATACCAGTAATTGAGGATCTGTTAGATCAACTAAGAGGAGCCAAGTATTTTTCCAAAATTGATCTGAGAAATGGGTATCACCAGATCAGAAAGGCTGAGAAGGATATTCATAAAACAACATTTTCCACACATATGGGCTTGTTTGAGTACTTGGTAATGTCCTTTGGATTAACTAATGGCCCTCCCTCTTTCCAGGCATTGATGAACTTGTTGTTTGGTCTCCTAAAATTTGTTGTTGTGTTCTTTGATGATATATTGGTGTTCAGTTTCTCATTAGAAGAGCATAAAGTTCATTTGGCAAAGGTGTTTGATATTCTGCAAGCTAACAAGTTGTATGCTATAGTGGAGAAATGTTCGTTTGGGTAGCAGGAAGTAGAATATTTGGGCCACATAATCAACTCAGAAGGAGTGTCTACTGACCCTTCAAAAATCAAAGCTATACAGGAGTGGCCAACTCCCACTACTGTCACTGAACTGAGGAGTTTCTTGGGTTTAAGTGGCTACTATAGGAGGTTTATCCAGGGGTATGGCATCATCTGTCGACCTCTCTTTGATTGCCTGAAAAAGGATGCTTTCTCTTGGAAGGGTGAACAAACAGAGGCTTTCCTAGCTCTGAAACAGAAACTTGCTAATATCCCTATCCTAGGACTACCTGATTTCACTAAGCCCTTTATACTGGAAGCTGATGCTTGTGGCTATGGCCTGGGAGCTATGCTGATGCAGGAAGGGAGGCCCATTTCTTATTTCAGCAAGAGTATTGGTCCTAAGGCTGCTGCTATGTCCACATATGATAAAGAGGCCCTTGCCATAATTGAAGCAGTAAACAATGGAGGCACTACTTCTTGGCAACTTCCCTGGTAATGAGAACTGACCAAGAGAGTCTGAAGTACATTCAGGAATAGAAAATAACTGAAGGAATTCAACACAAATTTCTATTAAAATTATTAGGATACAATTTCACTGTTGAGTATAAAAAAGGGAAGGAGAACAAAGTTGCTGATGCACTATCAAGAGTGAAGTATGTGGTATCTGCTCTCACTGCTAGTGTTGTTACTCCAACTTGGGTAAAAGAAGTGGTAAAGAGCTACAGTCAGGACAACAAAGTGAAAGAGTTGATTGCTGAGTGTACTGTAGCTACTCCTGGCACTACTGCTTACTCCTACAAAAATGGAATACTGAGATTTCACAACAAAGTGGTAGTGGGTACAGCTACAACTCCGAGACAGGATATCCTCAAAACCTTTCACAATTCTGAGTTGGGAGGGCATTCGGGTGAAAGAGCTACATACCACAGAGTGAAATTAGTATTTCATTGGCGGGGAATGAAACATGATGTTATTGCTTTTTTCAAGGTTTGCCATGTCTGCCAGTTGAACAAAGTAGAGCATTCTCCTTACCCTGGCCTCCTAGAACCCTTGCCTGTACCAGATTTTGCTTGGGCCCAACTTCTGAGCACAAAATTTTGATTCTGGTGGTGGTTGATAGGTTTACAAAATATTCTCATTTCAGAGCTATGCAACACCCTATAACAGTGCAAACAGTGGCTAGCGCTTTCTCAGATAATATCTTCAAATTGCATGGAATGCCCCTGGTAATAGTGACTGACAGGGACATAATTTTTACTAGTCACTTGTGGTAGCAGTTGTTCAAGTCGCTGAAGGTCAAATTGCACATGAGCACTAGCTATCATCCACAATCTGATGGGCAGACTGAAAGGGTGAACCAGTGTCTTGAAAACTATTTGAGATGCATGTGTTTTCAGCAATCAAGGAAGTGGCATAGCTGGCTACCTTTAGCTGCATGGTGGTACAACACCTCATTCCACACTGCCTTGCAAATGTCACCATTTCAAGCTTTGTATGGTTTTCCTCCCCAATGGTGGCAGAATCAGCATTACCAGATACTATTAGTGAAGATAGTGACAACTTGCTCCAGAATAGGGAAGTGGCATTGGAGATAATTAAACAGAATCTTCTCAAAGCACAAGAAAGGATGAAGTATTATGCTGATAAGAAGAGAAAGGAAAGGGAATTCTCTGTGGGTGACATGGTGTATCTCGAGCTGCAGCCTTACAGGCACACTTAACTGAGTTTACACAGGCATCTCAAGCTCCACTCCAAGTTTTATGGCCCCTTTAGAGTCTTGGAGAGAATTGGTAATCCTGCATACAAGCTATTGTTACCAGAAGGCTGTATGCTGCATAACACCTTCCATGCCAATCAATTGAAAAAGCATATTGGCCCAACAATTGTGCCTTCTCGTCACCTTCCACTAGTTGGTCCTGATGGTGTCATTAAAGTGGAACCTGAAGCGATATTGGAAAGGAAACTCATTCCTCGTTCTCAGGGCAACATCAGCATTCCTGTGGTAAGATGGTTAGTGAAGTGGGTGAATATGCCCATGGAAGAAGCTAGTTTGGAGGACTCGACCTTCATCCAGAAGGTTTTTCCTTCGTTCCGTGCTTGAGGGCAAGCACAAGCTCAACCGGGGGGTATTGTTAGGCCCAGACCTTGATCATCCCCTGTTCCAGCGTGCCAGAACTGCTTCAGTCTGTTGATTGCCCATCTAACGGCTCACCCACGTGCGTACCGGTTCGCCAGCTGGGACGATCTCCATGCGTTCATTGTCGATCTAACGGCTGCGATGGGTCGCTGTAGCTTTTCTGACTAGCCATGTGCTCTGTTCACTTTCTGTTCTTCTTTTTCACTCGTGTAATGGCTATAAAGCCACCCTTTCACCTCATTCTGGACTATGTTGATTTGTATCGGGTGTAAACCCTAGCCGCCGGTGGCGTGCTGAACCTACTTTTCCCATTTCTTAAGCAAGAACCCTAGTTTTTCGTCTCCATTTCTTCCACGATTCCTTGCGGTGTGACTTAATTTCAGTAATTCAGAGCTCTAAGCCTGACACCTGCTCCCCCCGCTCCCTGATGACCTAGCTGCTTGGGTTGTTGTTGCACTCCTGGTTGAAGGGCCGTGCTTCGGCGAATCCTTCCTCGCCCCTTCCGGCCATGACGATGATGCAGATGCTATGGAGGAGGCGTCATTCAGAGTGATCTGGATGCTGCTGCTCGAAACTAAACCGGTGGCCCTAGTCTTCTCTTTTGGTACAGGGCAATGGCGAGCCATTACATCCCTGACTTGCAGCTTGCCAGGCTTCGTGTAATCTACATGGATGATTTGCTTTGTGTGGCTCCATTACGCCCATGGCTGCTTCTACTGGATTTCAGGTTCGACTGAAAAACTGCTGGTGCTCGACATCTGGCGGATGGAGTTCTACATGGCTGACCACCCACCATGTGTTAGAGTTTTGGGCGATAATGTGGCTGTCGTGGAGGCAAGCCAAGGCATGACTCTGATGTTTGTGCCTAAACCTGACACATCTCGCCGTATTTATATTGTTTGGTGAAACAATGGTCGAAGTTCCACCCAGTGGCAGATGGAGAATGAGACATTCTTGTTGGATCCTGGGTCCTTGATCGTAGGTGCAGTGGGGAGGCACTTGCTCCTATATTATGGCGTAATATCGTCGGTCGAGGCAGGTTGTTACACACGGGACATCAATACACTCCAACTTGAGAGGGTGTGTGCTTCATATCCCCACCAGTCAGAAGCATATTGCAACTTCGCACCATCATTATTATCGTCACCGACAGTATCAAGTGGTAAACTTTTATGTTGCATGCCAGTTACCTCCTTTCATTTATAGTTATAACTATCACATAGCTTGTCTGATACTTGCTAGTTCGTTAATGTGATGAATAATTACTGGTTATGAAGTTTCGTGGTTGTTTCTTTTTTTGTGCTTGTGGCAAAGCTGATTAAGCAAATTTCTTTGCCTTTTCTATATGCCATCCTAAGTTAATTAGACAGGTGAAAGGGAGGATCTAACACACCATAAGTAGCATTTTAGGGGTATTGCAAGATCATAAAAAACACTGAATAGCAACAATTGTTTCAGTTTTTATGGCCAAGATAATGGAGAACGAATACAAGTTTAAATCAGGACATTGCTGCTAGTTCATCTTTGTGTTGTTTTATCTTAGAAACATTTATTCCAGTCTAGCAGGACCTATGCTATCTCGAAGTCTTATTTGGTCACCGTTACACTTGTAAATTTATCTTTATCGATTTCATATAAAAAATTATCTTAAGATAGTAAGAGGCAAAAATATCTTATTTGGTCTCCTATGTGAAAATTTATTCATTGTTTTAAATAATACCCCGTATGATAAAGCTTTAAATGAAACATAGAGTTACAAGATATTTTGCATGATGAATCAAATGATATTATTTGCATTTGTTTGGTCATGATAATCTTTATTGCACCTCACAATGCATCTTTTTAGCAAGAATTTTGTAGACACTGACCGAATAGAGATTGGTAGTACTTTCATTGATGCTAATGATTGGCATATTGATTGTGTTGTAGTTTGCCTCGTGGTTGGAATTGAGAAATTTGTTTGCCATGTCGTTCACCTTTTGTTGCACTAAGCATTGTGCACTAGCTTCTGTGGTCCATCTGATTTGGGAACCTTATCATTAGGCCACTATAGTCGCTTGCTTAATCCCTGTCTTATCCTTTCGTTGTGTCTTTCTAAAACATATGTCAGGCCCCAAAATGGTATATATTCTACACATCTGGCCATCCACTGGAGATCTAAGGGCTCGAGTGAGTCATTAAGTGAACTCGTCCCTGACTTCCAATTATTGCTTCGTGTCACCTCTCTTCATCTAGAGTGCTTGGAAGCAATCCAAAGGCTATAGTTCAAATTACCCGATGAGCACTATTTACCGACCAACGAAACCAGATTTAGACTGAATCCTACCAAAGTGTCTATAATCGTTGATTCTTATATGATTATAGAAAAGAAAAAATTATAAATATTTTTCATGAAAAATCTATAATACCACTTCTTTCAATCATATATTTTTAATGAAGGCTTTTCCAGAGAAATTAAATAGAGGTTGCTAGTACTATGATGGGATGGTAACTATAGATAGATGGATGGGTGGTGTAGTACTTTGTGTTATTACACTACATATGGAACATTATCTTCTGCCATGCCTTTAACCCTTGTTGTGATACGCATTGTGCTCTTTTGGTTCATTACATCTGAAAACCCCTTCACTCTCACACTGCACTTTTCTGCTTTATCCCTCCCACAATCCTATTATCCTACCCTGCATAAGTAAAGCCCTTTCCAAAGCCATCAAGTCAATCCATCCAATCTGCGGAACTTTTGCTGTCTGAATTAATGCTCTTATCTCAGAGAATTACTCACTATGGATCTGAATTTTGGCATTATTTTCTGCGCACCATTTTTTGTTTCTTCTGAATACCTTTTCAGTTCACACCTATATGTATCTCCTATTCTCCTTCGCATGACATCTATCTCCTACAGTAAGTTACTAAATTTCCACCACAAAAACAAATTCACCTATAGTGACTTACAACACTACATTCTTCTTCCATGCCTGTCGAAAGTCCAACTTTGTTTGGCTGCATGCAGACACAACCTTCTTAATTTTTTCCCTGTTTGTAGTGCACTTATGTGATTCATGTTGTCATTACTCTATCAAATTTATTCTTCTTTGGTATGGAACTCTGATAATTTTACAACTAAGCCTTTGTTTAGTCTACTGGTGCAATTGAACCTACAACCTAGGAGCCTCTGGCAGATCGCTGCTGGTGCTTTCTACTCCCTTCATTTCTAAATGTAAGTCTTTGTAGAGATTTTAATATGGACTACATACAGAGCAAAAAGAGTGAATCTATACTCTAAACTATGTCTATATATATTCGTATGTGTGTCATATTGAAATCTCTAAAAAGATTTATATTTAGGAACGGAGGGAGTATGTGCCAATACTATTTATTTTCTTTAATCGCCTTCCTCTTCTTTATGTCTGCTTCCATCTCATCCATACCCTTCCTTTGAAGCAGGGTAACACACATACTGTTGGATTATGGATGGGCTTAGGCCCATATAAGACACTAATCTCTGGTTAATCTTGAGGCCCATGTATGAGATGGCAGGTGGTGGGAAGTTTAGTCCCACCTTGCTAGTTGAGGAGAGTTGAGACCCCATTATAAGGGCTGCTCTACCACTTGCCATTGGGAGCTTGGGAAAAGGAGTGGCACACGCGCGCTCCTCCTCCTCCGCCGCCCGCCTCGCCAAGACGCGCGCGCGCGTGCGCCGCGGGTTGCGGGAATGAGCCGAGCCGAAGCTTATTTTTGCCGCTTAGGAACGAATTAACGAGTCACTAACAGGTGGGCCACTGTTCAAGACGTTGGGCTGACGTGCGTTGCCGGGATTCGTCGACTCCCTCACTACTAGGAAAAGGGCTATAGATGATATGGGCACTAATGACGCACCAAACATGTGGTGCGCCACTACTATATAGTAATGGCGCACCATGAGTCGGTGCGCCATTAGTGTGGTATACACTAATGGCGCACCAAACCCACGGTGCGCCATTAGTAACAATTTTTTTCCAAAAATTCTAATGGCGCACCAGGGAGTAGTGCGCCATTACTAGTAATTTTTTTGCAAAACTAGTAATGGCGCACCTCAAGCTGGTGCGCCATTAGTAACAAGGGTTACTAATGGCGCATTTGTCTGTGGTGTGCCATTAGTAACCTAGGACCAGCTAGATATTTTGGACAACCACACCTACACACTCACTTTCCCCACTTCATTCTCTCCACCTCCTCCTCCAATCTTGTGTCGGCTGCCTCCTCCTCCTCACCTCATTTGCACCATAGATTCATCAAAATTAAGTGGTTAAATTACCTTTTTTTGATAGGTAAGTAAGGGGAAAGCTATCTTTATGTTGTAGATCTACTTTTTTCTCCCTAGCTCGCTCCAACAACGTGCACATGCACTTTTTATGGCCTTGCTAGATCTATGTATGTTTGTGGTGTTGCATATATGTTTGTGTTTGCAGGTACCGGTATTTGAAATGCAATAGTTGCCAATATTTTGCCGGAATGGTGATTCATTTCCGGCGAGAATTTTGGCACTATGCATTCTTTTTTGTCCTATTTATAGGAAAGTCATGCCAAATTTTTTTCTTGGTTCTAAAATATCGTTTTACTCTACCCCGCAGGCAACCATGGTCCGCACGATGACTGAAGGCATCATGAATAGGTTTTTGAGCTCCACGAAGGCCGCGATGCTTCAAAAGAACGAGACGGAGATAAGATGTCCGTGTCGAAAATGCAAGCTGAAGAGCCTTATTGCGGACCCGGATTCCGGGCAGGTGCGGGACCACCTGCTCTTGCGTGGTTTCATGGATGGCTATCGGTGGCAAGGTGATGAAGATGACTATGAAGTCGTCCACGGGGGCCGGGCAAGAAATGAGGAAGGGTAGCAAGACAACCACCGCGGCGAGGGCGGGCGAGAAGACGAAGAATCTCCAGGACATGATCACGACGGTGATGCTGTACACAGTCATCATGTAGAAGATGCCGAACATGATGATGAGGACGATCAAGACGAAGGGCATGATCATGAAGATGAAGATGCCGGAGCAGACGACGATGGAGGCTGGGTGCAGGACCCTCATATTTAAGAGCTGCTTCTCAAGCAGACGGATAACAAAAGAGCTGCCGCCCAAGAGAAAGCCAAGCTGGATCAACTGGAGATAGACGCGGTTACTCCATTGTATGAAGGATGCAGGCCCGAGGTTACCCGCCTGAAAGTAACGCTCATGGCTCTGGAGATGAAGGTAAAACACGAAATGACCGACGCATGCTTCGACGAGAACATGTCATTCTGGCACGAATGTCTTCCCAAGGGGAACAAGTGCCCGACCAGTTTCGAGGAGGTGAAGAAAATCGTGTGTCCTCTGGATTTACCGGACGTGAAATACCATGTGTGCATGAACAATTGCATCATTTATCGGGACGAGCACGCAGAGTCTACCATATGTC